GACAATAGAGGGCACTATGTGATTTGTCTAAACCAGAATGATGGAATATTTTTTATGGTAAAATATTTTTCCAGTAATTTAAAGTTAGTTTAATAAAATATCCCGCAACTATCCTTATGGAAAACCGGTCCCGAATGATAGTCCTCAATGTGTCGATAAAGAAAGTCCATGGGACCTAGGTCTAAGAAGCTACAGCCTTCTGAAGTCATCGAATCCACGTGCTCGATGACCATCGAGTCAAGTTTTCTGAAGGTGCTTCAGTTATTTTCTGAAGACTAAAGAATGGTGCAGATATGCTGATGACGGATAAGTGTTCAGCATACGTAAAAACATAAGATGTCGCTCAAGCAGTACGTGTCTCTATCGCTGTTCTTCGGTAGGTGCTTCACCGATTTTCTGAAGACTGAAGGATGATACAGCTATTTTCACCACGGATTCGCATTCAGCACACAAAAATACATCAAGAAACAGCCAGCTTGGTCATTTTATAAAGAAATATTTGCTTTTACTCGCCCGTAAATCATTGGACTTAATATATTTGCTGATAACTCCTGATATGTATCAGACAAAACTTCACATGTTTTCCAAAATGGTGTATCCTGGATTTTTTTTCTTGTATGGTATATACTACTAACAGGGCGTATATTATTGGCATTGTATATGTTTTTTTGTACATCATCCATTAGGTATACCAAATTGTTCATTTAGGGATAGTCCATATGATTCCAATTTATGGAATTACGGAACTGGAAAGAAAGGGGTCTGAAATAATTCCCGTCTATTTCTTTTCTCTCTTGGCATTTTACCTCACTTTTCCCCCAACCAGTAGTTGTCAATGTATATTATGTTACTATTTGTAAATAGTTATATAAATACACACGGTGAACAGAATTTACAGCAGACGTAAAAAAGAAATGTATCGACGCGATACCAACTACTACAAGGTTCCATAATTAACTGAACAGTTTAAAACACGGGTCAGCTGTGAAAGCCACCGATCCTAGTGCCGTCTCTGTTAGACTCTGCACGTACACTAAGCCTAATTATCACCTAATTTTCCTTGGGAAGAGAGGTAAAAAAGATAATGTGGATAGAATATTACGTAAATGACATGACGCTGTATAAAATATGTTCCGTTGAAATTTAGTGAATACATTGTTTTAATTACGAAATCTGACATTTCATTTTCGCTTAAAGACGTCGTTTCCACAGAAGGGTGCTTTATACAAAGCAAAAAGAGTTTAAACAACTAATAACTAAACACTTTCCTTATTTTCTAGCTTTGAAAGAAAACACATCGATTAAACCATAAGAATATACTTATTTTCGCATACACGAATAGAACAAAATTATTTGTATGTTATGTCTGCACTATTTATTTTTCATATTGACGTATCGAGCTGTCCTTAATAACTGCTATTCTCCCCGAGTCTATCTATTGGCATGCGATGCTCTCAGCTGCAGTCTGCTGAAGCGTGGCATACATTGTCCTGTCGCAGGACAAGAGGGGGCCGGCGATACTACTCCGCAGGCTATTGAACTTTCCGCTAAATCCTGAAACTCGGCTTAAGCACTCCCTCCCTCCCCGACCACCTTATTAGGATAGGGTCGGGCAAAAGTTCAAGTTCGATTGGATAAAGGCATTGAACCTGTCACGTGCAGCTGAAAAATGCTCTCTGACCAATTAGTTTCGTTATTTTGATGGACTGTCGAAGTTTCAGGACTGGGGGGAGTTTTATAAATTTGAATTTGGTCTGTTTGACCGAGTGAACGGAAAATTGATTCAATTATAGATTTTCGTTGGACTTGTATAACTTCTAGTTGTAAATGAATTTAAATTAAAAGCTTAGTTGAGAGTGGGTTTCTTTTATAATATACAGGGCGAAACATACATGAAGAGGCTGTTTAAAGACGTTACGAAAATCTTAAAATAAGAAAGAATGAGTTTGTTATCAAAGTAAGAGAAATAATGTACCATTTTTAAATAAAAAAAAAAACAAAAATAACACATTTTTTACTGATTACTTTATAAACCCTGCTAAAGTTAAAACACAGAACAATCCCCGGGTTGGTTGTCACGTCATCGGCATTTTCTTTTTGATGTTTCAAAAGACATACATCTCGAAATTGTTCAAATATTGATAGTTTAGGAGCTGGTAGTACTTGTGCAATAATTTTTTAATTAAAATGTTCATTGAAAATATATTTTTATATGGAATTTAACCATAAATTTTAATAATAAATTTGTCACACTTAAGCATTTAGTTCCGTCGTAATCCGCAACATTAACTTCAGTAAGCCAAAAATAATTGACTTAATGTTTAAAATATCTTCCCTTTGTGGAGAATATTCGTTCATGAAAATAATGGCTATTTAATGAAATATGTGCTCGTGTTTTATGTTATTAACATCAGCAGTAAGTAGTAATTTTTAAAGAGGCTTATGTGTAATGTATATTCCTTACTATGACGTATGTAAATACTGGTATGTATATGTCTGGCTTATTATAGAAAATTTTGCGTCAATCTACACACACACTATTTATATCACAACTTCTGATCAAAAGTTTCTTAGAAAGATCATGTTACAATGATGATGATCGGTTCATATTTTATCACACTGAAATTGTAACCACAACTCACGAAACGTCAGATGCACAACAGTAATATACAGGGATGGCCAGAAGTACGGAATAAAATTTATATCTTTTGAATGAGTTAATTTTTTTAAAACGCCGAAACACGTTAACTGATTTTGATTTTTTCCCATCTTTCGGTTATATAATAATTAATTTTTCTTCAACCCCCTAACCCCCAGCTACCCCTCTTTTTTTTTTCAAATGGAAACATAAGGCATGAGGGGCTCGTTGAAAAGCTTATAGAAAACTGAATCCAGCCATACCAAATAAACAAGTTTTAATTTTTCAATAGCAAGGTTTTTAGGGTTGTATAAAACACCTACTTAACAAGTGAAATAAAATTTAATTATCTTCAGTGTTATCCTCCATGAATTTGCACAGAATAAAATAAATAATTTGAAACTGTACCTATCCTGCTAACGCAAAAAAGATATATTTTTTATATTGCGTACCACTTACTTGCCATGCTTTCTGGTTAATTTTTCAGTTTAGTTGTAAACTGGAGTTTGAAACGTTACTATTGTGTCAAAATCAAGTTATTTACTGAATTGCAATGGTATTGTCGGAAAGGCAACGCATCGAAATTTTGATATTGCTTGGATGTGGAGACAAAATAAGAAGTTAGGCTGAAGTGCGCGATTTATTTAATGCGAAATATCCCGAAAACCAAATCTCGCAAGGGACAGTTAGTAAAATATTTCACAAATTTGAGGAACACGGTACAGTACAGACTTTGCCCAAAACTGGACGGGCACGTGCTTTGAATGAAGAAAAGAAATTAGACATTGCATTAGAACTTGTTGAAAATCTTCATACTTCAACTGTTTCATTGGCCCGCAATCACGATGCTTCTCGAATTGCAATTCGAATGTTTCTGAAATAAGAGAATTACCACCCCTATAAGGTATGTCTTGTCCAAGAGCTTTTGGAAGACGATTACGATAGGCGATTACAATTTTGTGAAGAAATGATGAGACGATGTGACAACAATAATGGTTTTCAACGAGACGCACTTTTTTCGGATGGAGCTTTTGGTCCCAGTAAAATCCACACTGGACATGCAAATCGCATACGCAGCATCCACAGAAAATTAATGTATGGGCAGGTATCATCAACAACAGAATCTTGGGCTCATTCTTTTCTGAAGAAAATCTTACTGCCGCACGCTACCTGGATTTCCTAACATTTGACCTGATACCTGCTCAAGCTGTGATTTTCCCTCATTAAATTGATCCGGATATACCGAATGAAAGAATTTGGTGCCAACAAGATGGCGCTCCCCCACATTTTGGTATTGATGTTCGAAGATACTTAGATGAAATGTTTCCAAATCGCTGGATTGGTAGACGGGGTACTGTTGAATGGCCGCCAAGATCCCCCGATTTAACACCCCTGGATTATTTTCTTTGAGGATATTTGAAAGAAAGAGTCTACCAGGGCAGACTGGATAATATTGAGAATTTAAAGAACAATATTAGGGCGGAGATGCATAATTTACCAGCTGAAGTCATTCAGAATGCTGTGGACAGTTTTTACTATCGTCTTGGAGAATGCCAAATAGTGAATGGAGGACATTTTCAGCATTTGCGACATTGAGTTTATTTTTGTAAATTATCTAGTTGTTTCAATTTCTAAATGAAAAAAAACTTGTTACTGAAAAAATAAAATTTGTTTATTTGGTATGGCTGGATTCGGTTTTCTATAAGCTTTTCAACGAGCCCCCTTATGCCTTATGTTTCCATTTGAAAAAAAAGTAGGGGTAGCTGTGGGTTAGGGGGTTGAAGAAAAATTAATTATTATATAACCGAAAGATGGGAAAAAATCAAAATCAGTTAACGTGTTTCGGCGTTTTAAAAAAAATTAACTCATTCAAAAGATATGAATTTTATTCCGTACTTCTGGCCATCCCTCTAGAGTCCACAATTCTCTATGTATTAGCCTGTATACGTATGTCAACTATTAAGTAGTTAGTTAAAGATCCCCATTACGATTCATTGACAGTTGTCGATGAGTTTCTTGTAGATATTTATAAAGCCCTTACAGTTTTAAGGAATATATCTTTCAAAATTACTAAATTTATTTTAATGACAAGAATAAATTAAGGACAAATTTTATCTCTACGACTTTTAAGTAACAAAGAACAACTAATCTAACAGTGATTTACAACTTATCTAAAAGAAAATTGGGAATAGATGTGTCATGAAAAATGGAGTCAACAGTATTTCCAATCCTTACATCGCTAAATCCGATTTTAGTATTAACGTTTTTGCGATAGTGTTTACATTAGTTCTTCAACTGTCAAAAATGGCTTACGTGTGATACAAGTGACTTGAATCTACAAAAAGTTTGATTTATAACTGACCTTCAGTGGTGACGACCCTCGACCTGACGAGGTCCGCCTTGTTCGCTACGAGGATCACCGCCTTGGTGCTGATGGTGTCCAGAGTCCAGAGGGTTTGCAGGATTTTTTCAGCGCAGGATAAGCTCTGGCGATCGGCGCTGCTGTAGACCACACAATAAGCATGGGGATCATTGTACTTGCTTATACAGCTGTCCGGCTGGAATTAGAAGGAAATTGCAGTTAATACGCGCATTGATATTTCAGCTGAAAATGGGAAAATATTTCTGAAACCAGAAATGCGTATAAACATCGGATCTAGATGATTGTTTTAGTTATAGGAGTTCTAACCCTGCTGCGCAACAAAAATAAACTGTTCATTAATAATATGCTTTGTTTAGGTATGGCTTTACTTCCTTATTACGCAGGGTGTTTCCAAAATATGTGCCAGACTATTTTATTATAGTTTTGCGATTAATCTCCTCTTGAACGGTAACATACGTTTTTTTAAACATTCTTTCTGCATGTAGAGAATATTCCAAGACTTATACAGATACACTTTGCTATGTAATATATATTTTTTATTTTTCAAACAATATTTTTAATCAAAATGAGAAAACGGATAAGCAAAATAAGAAAAATATATAACACCTTGAATATTGAATTGAGTTTAGCTTCTTTACTGAAGATAATTGAATGAAACAAAATATAAAAGTTTGAAAAAATAGAAAAGAATATTAACAGAATATCATTAAAGTGTCTGGAAGCGATATTTTATAGGTAGTTTCGTTGGTTAAAAACAAATACGTGTTTTCTTTCTAAAAAAGTTCCGAGCTTTCAGATAACATATTTTTAAAACTGTGACTTTTATGATATTTTAAGAAAATTTAGTGTAGAAGAATTTTTAAGGTGGCCGAAAATGAATACAGGCTTATTTCTTATCTAAAATTTTGAAAATATGTAGATGTTTACTACTGATTTTTTTTTAAAACTCGATTATCCCTTGATCAATTGATTTGTAATGTATTATAAAGTAGAAAGATATTTTCTACTTCTAAGTTATTACTTTTAATATTCAAAATTAAGTTACCACACTGAAAAAAAGTATCAGATGAGCAGATAGTTTTAAATGAAATTTTTTGCCGTAAATGCTATTTTATTCTATTCAAATGTATATACTTTCGTCAAACTATGTGAAATATTTGCTGTAATCTATAATTTTTCTTAGAATTTATATTACTTGTAAATATATATATAATTTAATTCAAATCTTTTATAGTTTTGAAATTTATTATCTCGGACCTTAGCTACAATATCTCTTAGAGTTCATCATAAACTGCAAACATATTTGTTATATAAATTTAGTATTAATGTAGGAATTATTTAAGATAAATGTAGTATATTATAATCAAACTTATCTTTTCTTGAAAGAAAATTGTAGGTCACAGAATGACGTAGGTGGGAAGTAGCACAATAGATGGAGCCAGCATTTACGCTCTGTGTATACTCATCTCCTTGTAAGTAACGACACCAAAGCAGCTGGATCGTTCTAAGGACATAATGATGAAAACCATCAATAAGTCCCAAACCGACCTATGTCTGGTTGTTTAAACCTACGAACGATTCTAGCTGGTTGTACTGACAAAATGCATGGTGATTCACAACTTGTCCAAACACATTTGGGAAGTCAATATTGTAAAAATTTTTTTGGAAAATCCGTTTTCGAGAAAAACAAAATTAAAGTTGTAGTATTTTCAACCCTTACATCGCTGGGCTACTGTGCGCTGTGCGCAATGCGCTCTCTCTCCGCGTGGCCCTAGGCGAATACTGAAATCCGATTTTAGTATTAACGTTTTTGCGATAGTGTTTATATTAGTTTTTTAAGTGTCACACATAGCTTACGTGTATAGCAACTCGAAGTTGATGGATATCGTTTAAATTTATGGTAAAGCAAATTTTTTTACAAAATTGTATTTGTAAGAGTCTTCTATACATTACATTTTTTTGGGTAAGTTCTGAATCACCCTGTATATATATTTTTTATAAATATCGTGTATCTAAGAAACATATGGTGGTTCATAAAATTTTACTGGCTAAAATTATCCTTGAAGTGGAAAAGCATCCTCTATGAAATTTACTGTTGTAAACGTTTGAATAACCCATTTTTCTTAGTGTACCTTACAACAAAGAAAATTAATTTAATACACTAAGGATAAATACCGAAATTCAGGAACGTCTTTACTATATTTTCTTTGTTATATTTTACACTGTATCCAGAGAAACAATATTTAGAAACAAAATATTAGTTCACTTAAAAAAACAGCCTTCTCTGATATGAACGCAAATATTTCTCCCAGGGAGGAAAGCTCCGCTTACTTATTGTAAAAATATGATTACGAAAACGGGGGAAGTTAATCTGGATTTTTTTGTACACTTTAATACACCTTAATATATATTCAGAAACCTTTTTTATGGAAATAAATCACCGCGAATACAGGAAACAACCCCGTTTAAGAGTGCTCCCATTATCAGGCGATATCTCCGGACTCGCCCTTGGCTCGTCATCGCGCCCCTGATTTATGACACTTTAAAACACAATATTTTGATATATTGTGAGGCAGTCAGTTCGGCCCTAATAAATGGGGTAATTAATTAGGGTGTTTCCCGTTTCACACAGTCGAAACTTTTTAAGACTATTTCGTAGCCGGCCTGTTTACATTTTTCGTAGTTGCTTTTTGCGGCTCAACTGAAATTTATTGCTATAAAATTCGGGATGATTTATTAGTTTCGCGTTTACCGTTTCAAATTTCTGATCTCGCTCTTCCATAAACGTGCGATTCATGATAAAGTAAATAATATCCTCCCTTTATTTCCAGGGTGCTGCGAAGTTACTCTTTTTGTTGCAGAACTTTCGGTTTCGGCGTTAAGGCCACTGACCTCAATGACTTTACAGACGGATAAACGTATAACATTAATAAATTAAAAATGGGTTAGGTACACTTAAATATTTACATTCAATTTAGAACATTTATCTAAAAATATTTACAAAATCTTATGTGCACGGATCATAAACTTAATAGGTGGTTTATGGACATCTAATATTCTTTTAACCTAGATATAATTAAATAATAAACAAATGTAGTCTCATCAAAATAAAACCAAGAAAATTATACAGAAAAATGTTTTTTCGACACATCTGCCTATAAATACTTGTCAAATGTACAAAACTAATTATTAAAACCTATAATTCCTTTATTTTTAGTTATGAAAAAAAATAGTATGATAGCATAGAATGGAAATATTTTATGACGAATTTGTCGTACAAAAATGATAGTGACAGTCAATCTGGACAGAATTTGGAAATGAATTTTCACTTATAATCTCCCTAGTGCTTGAATTATTTCCGGAAATTTTTCCGAAGGAACGCAATTTTTGAGAATTTTCCGGACATTAATTCAAGGACGTGGGGGATTCACTAAGAAAATTTTACAACCAAAATTTATTTTTGAAACTTATTTTGCCAAAATAAAGTTGGCTTAACAGGTAGACATTGTTTTGTGGTGCATGACATATTTTTTTCTTCTTAAACGTCACATAATTTAATCGCATTTCACGCGTTTTTTTAAATTCAAAAATGGCTCGTTTTGGAAATGAAAATTACGAAAACATAAAAACAACACGTTCCTTTCACTTTAGTAATAAATGAGGCATTTAATTTTTGAATTCAAATATTTACCTTTGCAATACAATCACTTAGTATTACTAAAATAGAAGGAAAGTAAGTTTTTGTAGAAAAGCGAAGCCTATGGCAGTTTATCAAAGATTCTTATTAAAACATAAAAAACACATTCCTTTCACTTTAGTAATAAAAAAGGCATTTAATTTTTGAATTTTAATATTTATCTTTGCAACACAATTCACTTAGTATTAGTAAAATAGAAGGAAAGTAAGTTTTTGTAGAAAAGCGATGTCTATGGCAGTTTATCAATGATTCTTATTAAAACATAAAAAAACATATTCCTTGCACTTTAGTAATAAAAAAGGCATTTAATTTTTAAATTCAAATATTTATCTTTGCAGTACAATTCACTTCGTATTACTAAAATAGAAGGAAAGTAAGTTTTTTGTAGCAATGCGATGTCTATGACAGTTTATTAATTATTCTTATTAAATATAAAAAACAGCACTTTAGTAATAAAAAAGGCATTTAATTTTTGAATTCAGATATTTATGTTTGCAGTATAATTCACTTAGTATTACTAAAATAGAAGGAAAGTAGGTTTTTGTGGAAAACCGATGCCTATGGCAATATATCAATGATTCTTAAAAAATCATGAAATAGGCTTAGGCTTGTGATGTCAAAATCGTCTTCGCTATACGTCACGTTGGCAGTAATTTTCTCCATATTGTTGTCGCGATTTCTGGGACAACAGATCTTAAGTTGCCCTATTTGCGTCTTATTCAACATCTGATAGAATAATAAAATTACTCTCATTGCCCGTATTTTCTTCAAAATCCATTTTTTTAGCCACAAAATTTACAATATTTAAGGACAGCTTCAACTGTAGTTACTAATAAACACCAAACAACCTACAACTGTTTTACTTAGTTACCCTTTACCCTGAAATTCCAGGGCGATATTAAAAAAATCCCAATTCCTTATCGATCACTCAGAAAAGTTCAAATTGTATGTATTTTTTTTATAGGTATTTCATATGGTACATTGAACCTGTACATTTTTTGTCACGTCTTCGTCATCTCTTGTATCAATAAAAAAAATTCTGATATATTTCTGTAATCATCATCTTTTCAATATTATTTTAGCAATGAGAATAACTAGTTTATATTTTCTTTTTCCCTTCTGTTTTAACACTTATTGCCCGGTCTCTGTCTGGTGGGTCCGACGGACAAATGGTCCTGTTTGTTTACTAGATATTGTGGGTACAGTTCAATGCACGATTTTTCTTGGGTGGTCATTCTGTCCTAGATTTGTACAGATTCTCAAGGGACAAGCTGTATAGTGAATTTTGCACCTAAATAATTTAGTCTAAATTTCGACGAAATAAAGATTCCCGCATTTTTTATGCAGACTTCATGAACACACGTGCGAGTTTAAATTTTAAGTGAGAAAAAATCTAAATGAATCCCACTTCTGCAATTTAATCGGTGAGATCCGCAAAGCTTTGAAAATAAACACAAAGATAAACAAAGCATTTTTTATCAGCGTAATCCGGCAAAAAGTAAATAAGGCACCCACACACACGCACACATCCTCTCTGTCCATTAGCTTTGAGAGTTTTTGTGAAACTTCACATGACCCTCTTCTGATTACAAACTTTTCGTTATGCGAGATAATTAACGACATAATAATTCGCTAACCGACAGAATTTGAGAATATTCCGGCGCTCCTAAATAATTTTTTATTCAATTATCTTATGACGATGCTTATTAGAGCGTTAACTGAACAGTAAATTGAATTGTAAATTATGAAACAGTACAGAGTTTTAGTTTATAGCTACTTCGTGTCAGTCAAAAGTGCGCTTCTAATTAATTTATATACATAACACCCTTTGAGAGACCCTTTTTTTAATTAGGTTATTTATATATCTGCAAAAAATCTAATTCAATTCAATTTTTTATTATAAGAATATTGATTTCTATTGCCTATTTCTGGAGTAAAATTTTCAGTTTCTGGGGAAAATCATTTCATATAACGGTTAAAATTTCGTCGATTTATGTCGTCATACGATAAGGGGAAAATGTTGGAAACAATCTTGATAAAACAGCAATCTGAAAAATATAGAGCCCTAAGAATGTCGATACACAGGATGTTTCCTAAATAATCTAAAATATTTTAGAGGAGGATTCTTCAAATTGTTTTGTGAAAAAACGTTTTAGTACTTATATTTTTCTAAAAACTAGGGTGTGTGTGTGTGTAGGCAATTAATAATATTATAAGCACGTCACTGCATATTTTAAATTTTGTTAATTAAAGTTTTTTTGTAATCCTCTTTCATTAGCTGACATAAGATTTCTCTTAGTATTTTTTCATTTGAAGTCTAGTTCTGTGAAAATGCTGTTTTTTTTAATTTATCGGTTATACAAGGTGTTTATAAATAAGTGGGAAATATTTTAGGGGGTAGTTACCGAAGTTATTTCGTAAAAAAGTCATATAATCGTATGTCGAAATATGCTTTGTTTCCAAGATACAGTGTTTAAATTTAAATTTTTAATTTATTTTTATTAATTATTTCAAAGAGTTGTAAAGATATTGACTCGAAATTTGATGGTTGCATTTCATTTAAAAATATTGACAGCAACCTACTAGATAATGTATCAATAGAAATTAAAAATACACAACTTGCAATGAAATATATTTTATTTTTTTCGTCAAAAACGGTACATCCTACGAAAAAAATTGAAGGGCCAATTTTATTCGGAATTGAGGGCGAATTTCTAAAAAAACATTAAAACGGTAAAAGGTCAGTGGCGTACCATTTTTTTTATAAAAAAGGTTGTGGCATTCTCGCACGAGCGCCACTGGTGTAAGTAGAAATATACGGATCACCCCAAAAAATGCACATTTATCCCTTCAAAGCGTTTTTCAAATTTCGAGTGAACATTTTTAAAACTAAAATAATTAATAAAAATAAATAAAAAATTAAAGCTTAAACACTGTATCTAGGAAAAGAAGCATATTTCGATCTACGGTTATATGAACTTTCTTTCGCACTTATTTACAAACACCCTGTATGTATGTATTATTTTTTAATAAGATAGCACTTTTCTCCAGAATTAAGCCCTAAATAAAAAAATGTTAACAGACATATTTTGTCAGGTAATGAACGAGGGTTACAAGAAATACTCATAAAATTAAAAATATCAGTGTACATATCATTTTGAAAAATAATTGAATACTATTGCGTACACGCATCCTCTGGTGAGGTGATGATATTTTGGCTTACAGTAAAACATGCATATAATAGGTAGTCCAACTGTTCACAGTTTAAGAAAAAGAAAACGTTCCATTATTGAGACATTTAAAAAAAAATAAAATAAATTCTTTTTCATAAAATGTGAAGAATAATTTACTAAATATTTTAGAGTACTAAGGGAATACCTTGCAAATTGAAGAAACGTCGACAATTGTATAAATTAGTCCCAATTGCTCTGATATCCGCAAAAATTAAAACAAGAAATGTAAGTATTTGATTTTTGTGTAACTAGATTTTAATGTAATCTATTCTGAATATGCGAATTAAATGTTATACATTCCACTAAATTAAATTTAATTTGGCTAGATACTCCGCCAATAAATTATCAATGTAAATTCTACAGAAGAAGATATACTAGCAAAGTCCGAAAAAAAATTCTGATTCAAGCTTAAATTTAAATTCAAATGCATGTTAAAACCGCAGCAGATTGTTTAAGTTTGAATTTTTCTGAATCCATTAAAAGTTTCAACTCATTTCTATCACTCAAGCAAAAACCAACGAAGCGAAGTTTAAATAAAACAGAACAAGTTGCCGTGGTTCATCTAGAAATAGAATAAATATACGTGTAATACACTTTCAAACACTTGCACATTTGAATGTTAGCAAAGTACACATAGAAATTCTGAGTCGAGATTAAAGCTGAAATGCTGAAATCTAGAGCTGACCAGCGGATTCTTAATTTTTATCTCGTCCGAAATTTCCATGAATTTTTCTGGCGATGTTTCGCGTTCAGCTCTCACAACTTAATTCAGATCCGAAGAGGCGATATTTCACCTGAAAGTTAAATTGTAACCTACGACACTTACCGATAAATCAGCTGTGGCAAAATCTATAAAACACAGTTCAGATTCGTCCCCTGCTAATAGCACCGACACAGATTTTTCGCCGCTCTCATCATCTGAAACAAAACAAATGGAATGGGTGTTTTATATTTCGATTCGCGTTTACATTTCGATCAAAACCCTCTTTTGTCACACTTGATAGCAAAATATATTCGTATTTTTCTTTTAGATTTTAATATATGAAATGTTCATAATTACATGAACATTAACCAAGATATATTTGACATATTACTTGAAATGCAAAAACATATTAAATATACAGTGGCTGAATATTATGATTTCACTATAACAGTAATGTATTTTTCATTAAACAGTATAATTTGTTGATAAAAGTGTTTGATGAAAAAATACAACAATGGCATTTCTTTGCTCCTCAAGAACATTGTGAGGCATCTTTGAGTGAGATATGGTAAACAGTAGAATCACTAGACATATACCAGTTTAGAACTTATCAGTTCTCCTCAGTATGCCATAGGTGAGACGACTGACGAATTGGTATGAGTATGGGTGAGATATAGCAAAAAATTTGGTCCTAGATAGACAGCACAATGTCATTCGTCACCTCCCAAGTAGCACAAATAAGTTTATAATAGCTTTAAGAATATCTATATAACCACTCTCCCACAGGTAAAAGCTTTATTAAAAGATGATGAGAACAGGTATTCAGCATTAAATAAGCATTTATAAATTCAAAATAGGCGCAGCTTATAAAACCATTTTATAAAAGCTGTGCATACAATATTTACTCCACTAATTAGTGTTCTTTCGTTACATTCTTACAGCATTTATAAAATATACTATAAAACCTTTATACAGAAAACGTAGGCTGCATAACCGATGTACACTATTGTCTTATAAAACAAATTTGCTGGTTTGTTGTTTTCTGGCCTGCTATTTACGAAGTAGCTGTATGGTGGTGATATAATTGTCTCCAAAGAAAAGCTTTATACGTGTTTTATATAAAGGCTATTTTTTCAACTTGAACTCGATGAATGTTGTATTAATGTATCCAACATACAGTACAATAAAACTGTTTAAAAATATAATATATGCGTTTATATACTAAATCGTTTTATTAATAAAAGCTTTGGGCTATGGCTGATTGTTGGCCACATAAGATCTACGACGTATAATAACGAGCGGATTTCGATTTTTCACCCAAGTTCCCAAAATAATACAGGAAAAACTCCTAACAACTAATAACGGGATAGAAATCACGTCAAACGTACGAAACCATAGATGACAGATTGTAGACAATTTTCAACGCACATCGGAAGGCGCAAAGCGAGAAAACAAAATTTCACCTATGTTTTGAAATTTTCTAAAGTTCCCCTACGAGACCTCGATTGCAGTCAACTACCATTAGCCGTAGCAGACGTTACTAACAGGGCACGCTACCGATCGTTGTATCACTGCAGACAGTACACAATGGTGCGAAAATTCTTAACTCAGTTCTGAATTGCTGGAAATTAAAACAAATACGAAATTTGGACTGATGCAAAGCCATATGGTCACTATTAACCAAAATCGGTTACTAGCTGATAACCCTCCGGAGACGGCCTTTCATTCTAAGAAAGGCATTTTTCAAGGGGACCAAATCCTAGAATTCAATGCGAAAACCACCGCAGAACCCTTGCGGACCCAGCCTGAAGAGTGTTCGAAAGGCAACCCGATTACCCAGCAGCTTATTAACCTAGGACGGATATCTTACTAGTACACTGGTATGTTCCAAATGTTTCCTTTAGTATTGTATACAATAGCTATCACTATTGCTTTCATTTATTACAAATTGACAAGAAAATTTCAATGAATCCTACATTTCTCATAAAATCAAAACCTCGTTAAAAATTTTCAAAAATATTTTTACGAGCCCTACGTTTATGGCCTAGATCAGAGCTCCAGTAGCCCATACCGCCCAGGAACTTCTGAGCCTGTCACGAAGATCCTGAAAGATACAAGATTTGAGTAGACTTCACACTACAAACTCTTAAATCCGATCATCTCGTTCACCGGTTGGCTAGCAGGCGATTAATATCCTGGCACCGCAGGCGAAACACGAGGGTCTTGGTAAAACTGCCGCTCAACTCAGTAATAGAAGTATCGAGGTGCAAGACAACTTTAACCCACCGTCAAGGGATACAATCAATCATGTTTTACGACATGGCGCCCAACGTGGAGTCACGAAGTCTGAAAGGTCCACATGATAATGTAAATCAGCGACAATATGTCTAGTGGTTCCACTAGCAAGCGATTTGCATTGCGGGTGCTGGAACATACAGGGCGTCCAAAAGAATTCAAAATGTTTTTCTCGAAAAATCAACAATAAAAAAGTTTACAAAAGTGCGGAATCCCCATCCGGGAACACACTGTGTTCTTTAGAATTCTTTAGAAGCAATTCATTTGGAAACGATTTTATTATCCTGCGAACTGCCTAGCTGTAATACCACCTCATAAATCCATAACATCTAAAATAAATTTAAATCACGGACAAAGGGAGACTTACTTCTCAACCCATTTATCAATAAACTTCGCGGAGATGTTATACACACCGAATTTATGTGGGTGGGAAACACAAGTTAATAATGTATTAATCAATTTCTCGTACATATGCAGGCTTTGCGGGGATGATTTATTGTCATCGAATTAGCTGATGTCTGTTGGAGATAATTTTTGGTATTCGAGAACAGCTGCTGTAAACTGTAATTTTGATTATCTAAATCTAAGCGTGCAATTAAATATATTAACTACCGGATTAGGCTCTGAATTTTGAGCTAGCCATTATTCACGACTAATTTGGGCCTACAGCACAAGTCTAACCTGATCGCGCTCGTGATAAATATATGTTGCCTGACGGATCGCGTAGCTCTGCTAATGAAGGTGGAAAATTTAATTTTCCCGTTCGTTAACAATTTTCTACAGAAATATAAACCGACTCGAAAATTTCGTTTTACTCCATTGTCTTAAATATGACGTACAAATCAAATTTTAAAGCAAGTTTTAAAGAACAGGAAACAGTAGTAAAACGAATGCAGGAAATAAAGAAAATGAATAGATTCAAAGAACAAAATATGTACAGAGTTAATTTTGGATGCTTTTTCAACATCTGCTGGTAGCCCAGTCATTATAGACATGGAAGAGCCTGTTTCGGGAAAAAAATACTATTAGAAGTTTCTCTGCGGAATATTGTTCGGAAACCTGTTATAAATAAAATATCAAAAAATCAATTCGAGGCTAGTTGGGAAACTTTGTTTTAACAGTGGTTAAAGTTATGGAAAAGTGGTTTTTTGACTCACGTAAAAAAGCTATTATTCATAGCGAAAAAAAGTTTATACAAAAAAGGTGGGTATTAAATAAGCCTATAAAATGAAAAAAGTCCGATTAAATTCCGATAATTTGTTTATGCATAAGAGCTCAAAAATGGTCGAAAATTGACGTTTTTTTCAATTGCTAATAATTAATGCAATTTTCATCGCAGACACTTGTAATTCAGGATTTTTGAGGCTTTTTACACCCTCAATAAGTGGTAAAAATTTCAGCTCGAAAGCTTCATTGGTTTGACGTTGGCGGAATTTGCTATCTAAGAAGATGCTATTTTTCAATTCATTTTTCCCAAGCTCACAGGCGTTGTAGGGTTTTGATCATTAGTTGTTTTTGTACCTAAATAGTTGTATTGAAAAATTTTTCAATTGAATATTTTAGTTTTCAGTCGCAAATAACTCAAAAGGTATTGGTTTATCAAAAAAATTGTATGACACATTTCTTGTTTCAAATTAGTTGCTCTATCGATTCCAGGGATTATTTTGACAAAATTTATTTTCAACCCTACAAAGGGGTAGAAACCACCCCCAGGGTAAAAATATATATCAGCATGGGTGTATTTTGTTTCTTGAGCTATTCCCCACCTACTTTCCAAATTTCAAGCAAATCGATGCATAAGAGCGGAAATCAGAGTTAAAATCATCATAAACTGAAATATTCGTAAATTTAAGGGTTCTAAATTTTTTAGCTCAATTTAAACAATGGATCCTTATCCTCATCTCAAAAATTATAAAAAAATGTTATGTATCAATTAAAAAAAATAATTTTGCAAACGAGAGAGCAAAAAAATGAAATTTTGTTCAAAATTATAATTTTGGGGCTCAATTTTGAGGGTGTAAATGCGGTGCTGGTGAAATGTGATTATTTTTCCCGTAATCTGTTCCTCTTAAGCTTTAAAACGCTATATTTTGTTTTTTATTATCTTTTTTCTACGAGGCGTTACTTAATTTTATCCATACCTAAGTCCAAATGAATTATAGTGCGGCGGTAACGTCGCTCAGGCACGACACTGATACGTAGACAGATACACACAGTGTACAAATAATTCATCTAGTGATGGCGTACATTATATTTTAAATAAACAGTCTAGAGGACTATTGTCGGGTAATATAGTGACCATGCAAGATGACCACTACAACTTGCTCTTATAATTTAAGTTTTTTGATTAAAATATATAATACATTAAATATTTATTTTACTTCCATTATTCTTATAAAAACTAAAAAAGACAACTTTCTCTAGCAATACAATTCATTAAATAAAGAACTTATAATGTAATGCTGATATTGTAACAATCAATAATATTCTAGACACAAGTTACGCAAAAACTGTAACAGTTAATTTTAAGACAATATTTTATACGTCGACCTCTTCTGAGCACGATAAATAGAATACTGATCATTTTTTTCAAAGAAATAATTGACTTTTGTTTTTAAATACGTCTTACTTTTCAAAATATCGAAAGCATAATGAAATTACAAAAGAAAACGTGAAAAGTCAATAAAATTGTATTTTTCGGGGTCTGGCGATGACGTTTGCTTACACCATTTGAAAGAGCGGAAAAAAATTAGTTGGCTTCAAAAAAAAGCATACTGGTAGCTGCTTTCTGAGTGCCACAATACATTTGGTAAGTAAGAATATTGAGAAGTCGGGCGCAGCATGGGCACTATGATGTCACAGCGCTCCCCTCTCCTGGCTACCGCTCAGTCGCGTGGTCGCGGCGCGACATGGTCATTTCTTGGTCGAATGCATTAAAAAAAAATCAGCGTATAAGGGAAGTCTTCTACTTTACAATGAGCCCAAGTTTATTACAAAACGTTAAATAGAACAGCCATAATAGAATTTTAAGAGAAACGACTTCTATTGGTCGGATCGAGACACTTTTTTTTAAAATCATGTTTTTTCATCACTATTTGATGTAATTGGTTTGAAATCTGTATATTAAAAAACCGCCGAGATAACGACCTTAGTTACAGTTTTTTTTCAGTCAAATTCATTCTTGTTATTTAATACTGAAACTTTTGCACATTTTTTTCTTCACTGCTAATTTTGCAATGTAAAAATTTTGCGAGCTTTCGCAAAAGCCTATCCTTGTAGCAAACCTCAGGGACAAAATCGATAAGTATACCTCATGTCGATTTTATTTGCGGAGATACAAGCGAAAAACTGAAAAGGACAATTATTTTCTTTTCTTTTGTTATAAACAATATGACGCTCGACCTCTATAAATACACAAATTTGAGCTTTCGTTCTGTGCATTATTTACTTAATTTTAAGCCCATAAAATTTAAGTTAGGCCCGATTTAAAAAAAAAAAACTAATTCGCCCGGAACAAATGAAGATCTATCTATTTTTATTATTTTTTTGTAGCCCTACAATGATGGCTATTTATACATTCTGAAAAATGTTCAGTATCTTTTTAAAAATACATTATTTTTTCTTATAAACAATAACTGTTTCTATACAATTCAAAAAGAAAAATGTACAGAAATATAGATTTCTTGAAAAACCCGTTTTTGGGGATAAACTTTAGGAGTGCTTCCTACCCCCCTTAAAATGTTCATTATTTTTGTCCTGTACAACATAGCGAAGATACATTGTTAGAAACGCAAAAGAAGAGTTTCCCTGTTCTATAAAAAAGTAATTACTTTTATATAAAAAGTACCTATTTCGGTTTCTTATGTATTAGAAATATTGGTATGTTGGTTGTACATCTTCAGCAGTGGTGAAATGATGATTTTAGTTTAAATAAATTTGTCTCTGTACACATACACATTTTTATAACAAAAAACATTTTTTAAATACTGTGTTGGAAACTATTTAATATCATAATTTTATGTTAATATTACGATTTTAGTGAAAGAGCTCCGATTTTTTTACTATTACAATAAAACTATAAAACAATAAATACTGTCTAATAAAACATATATACAGGGTAACAACTTTTTAATTGTCCTATACTGACTGATATATTTCTTATTTTAAAAGTTGCAGAAATTGCGAATGTTTCCGAAGATTTTATGCTATTTCTTTTTTTAGTCGTATTTCACTTGTTTTTCAAAATTTTTGGACAAAAACGTGTAGTTTGATATTAAATGATGTGAGGAATTGATTTTTTCTGTCTATGTCAGTGTTGACGTATCTCTAAAAACATGTGCTGAGAGGTAATTAACTTTTGATTTTCTTATGCACGCTATATTGAATTTTTGCCTCATTAGGAGAAAGGCGAAATTCTCTTCAACGATATATAATTCATGGGGTTTTCATAAATAAATAACAAAGATATTGAATATAATTATAATTTTAATAAAAAAAGTCAAGTAGCCACGTGAAACATTTGAGTTTTTTTCTATAAATGTAATGTAGTTCTATAAAAATGAAACATACTATTATAATATTTTATTTGCCTAGTAGCGATTCATCTGGTATATTATTTGATTTGTTGCCTCGAGACCGAAGTTAAACCTTGAGTTCTGAGTTAACCCGCAACTTTATTTCTAGGCAATACCCCAGATAATATCCTCCATCTCCCACATGCATAAACTTGTCCAGGCCGAACCACTTACAGCAGAGAACGAGACGTGCAAACACGGCCTTCTTCAAACGCTCCCAGACAAAGTTTTCTAAATAACCCTTTGAACTAGAGGAGTATAAAGAAAATTAAACACTGAAAACTGCCGACCTAGCAAGGCCAGTGTAAGGGAACAAAGCGAGGGGCATTACGAAATCTTTACGTCGTTTTATTTTTTGGAGGCGCTGAATGTATAGCTTGTAAGGAGGATCTTTTAAAACTAATATTCTACTTTATACCGCTTTAAATATACAGGGTTCTTCACGGAAAGTGGCCTATTAGACGTTTCAGAGGAACCAAAGACAATATGACTGGAATTTTTTTTACGGGTGTTATCAGATATGCTCTTTTCAATGAAAATAATACCATCAACGTAGCACTTCCGGTTATACCGGAAGTAGCTGTCAACTTCGTTATTTTAAATGAAACACTCTATATATTATTGCATTATCGGCAAGATAAATTAAAAATAAGTCAAAAATGTTAAATGTATCCCAGATGCCCCTTTTATATTATATATCGCGCAATTTTGTGTATGCGTGTAAGTTTAATTCTGCTATCTAAAAAACATTTAAATGATTTGTTTCGTTGGCAGAACGCAGAACCGGGGAAATAGCAATTTATAATTCGTAAAATGGCGCTAGGCGTACAATTAAAAAAATAATAATTAATCCTACCTCTACCCCGATGAATACGAGTTAATAGGAAAAATTAAAATTACTTTTCCGTTCCGTTCCCCAAAAGGCGTAACCCATGTGGAATTAACAATTATTCCGGGTGATCACGGTAACAGACCGATCAATTTTGTCAGCACGCTATAATTTGCTCCCAAAACGGCAATGGGGACGCAATGAGTATAATGAATTCTGCTAACCTACATTAGTAGATAGACTACTGCGAAACAATTATTAAAAAAAGACGTTTAAAACGCTTTTAAATTATTGGCTTAAATGAGGAAAATAGACCACGAAATTAATGAGGCAGTGGAGTAATTTTTACATTAAAATTTCCGACATTAAAGATTTGGGATCAGCGATACTAATTGCAATTCCTAATACAAAAACTGTTCCTTCTGATAATTTTTTTATTAATTTCAAAAAAATAAAATAAATTTACCTACACAAGTGATAGGCCCATTCAGTGATATATAATTTTAAACTTTTTCTTTAATTTTCTGATAGTATTTAACCCCCTAAATATATCTTAAAAAAATTAGATCAATAGGATTAATAATAAGTGATATATTTAATTCTGAATTTGTAAGACCCTTAAAAAGGTCCCCACTGCGGGAGAACAGGTAATGACGTCACGATACCGGCCACTCGGCGATCAAGTCGCGAGCAGTCGGAGAGATGTGTAGATATTTGCTATACTTTTACCTATATTATATACCTATATTTTTAAGTGTATAAGAGATACATCTTGTTGAAATGCATTTTTCACACAACATATTTATTATAAACATAGAATGACTTGGAATACCTAAATACATTTTCGGATTTTTCTCAATGACGTAAATGGTTTGCTTTTCTACATTTTCTTTTGCGTTCCATTTTTGAACAAATGATCCCAACGCACTAGACTCGGTACTTGTGGATGTATGCGACGACGTGTATGAGTCAGTAGTACTTTGACTAGTATTTGAAGCAACTCAGAACCACCCTCGTGTTTCTTTGGTTGCCCGTCTAGGGGGTTGTAAAATATTATTATTTAAATAAATTGCTTATAGGTCCCTCTCGCCACGTATTTCGAAATTTTTGTGGACGGGAACGTTTAGATGGGGTAGAATTTTTTTTTTCGGCATAAATTTGAAAATTCTGCTCTAAATGTTTAAAAAATAATATTTATAACCCCCTAGACGGGCAACCAAAGAAAAACGAGGATGGTTCTGAGTTGCTTATAGGTCCCTCTCGCCGACGTATTTCGAAATTTTTGTGAACACGAACACTTAGATGGGGTAGAATTTTTTCCGGCATATAGTTGGAAATTGTGCTCTAAATGTTCAAATAATAATATTTTACAACCCCCTAGACGTGCAACCAAAGAAAAACGAAGGTGGTTTTGAGTTGCATACTGTGTCTGGGGAAACCGTGGATAACATCACACAAACTTTTCATTTTTCGGTAATGAATTAAATATTTTATTCGGAGTCGATCCTGAGGTACTTTCGAAGTCTGGAACTATACAATATTTATACAATCCTCGGTTTCGACCCATTTAGACATAAACAATGATTAACGAAACTGCCAAGCGAACCAGATACCGTATGTATTAATACAGAATGAGATGACAGCGAGCCGAGCGCGTGCGGAATGCTGTGCCAGTCGCCCGTACCGGTATTATGACGTCAGGCAATGGATGCTCAACGTTTTTCCGCGCTCCGTTTTCATTAATTTATTTTACACATTTCTCGTTGAAACAAAGAATTGATTTTTGGCATACTAACTAATTAAAGGGTAAACTTTTGGAATATGCGAAAAAAAATCTACTGAATGGGCCTATTGGGATAAATAAACTGGGCAATATGCCTAAACAATTTGACACATTTCTGAATCTAGACAACCCATAAGAGTATACTGTCCACTGTTTCCGCCGACTCTCAGCGACTACATTGGTAAATGCAGATGCGGATACCATAACATTAAAAAGGCATGGAGGTTGGAAGTCTTCTCAAGTAGCAGAAGGATACATTATATGCAAAATTGAATAAATGTAGCAAATCGATTAGTTTCTTCAATTACCTAATGGATCTGAATTGTCAGTGTTGCGAGAAACAACTACTTATACGCGCAACACCTAGTGTATCGTGCAACAAAGTACCTGCAGTTAGCAGGTCGCTTCCTACCGTAGCCATTTGAATGGCACAGTTGAGAGTCCGCACGACAGATGGAGTCATTTGCGCTCCCGCGTACAACCTAATGGATCTAACTCGTTAGTAACCGCCCCTCAACCTCCAATTCTTCCTGCTACACGACTGTTAAGTCTGCATCTACAAATCAATCTGTTTTGAAAAAATATTACAGAAAATATGTATTTCCAGTGCACCAGATTTTAATTTCAGTAATATAAATATTAATAACTTATTTTGTTTAGATTTAATTTAATTGTTTTTGATTCATACTTTTTGGTTGTGGAGAAAATATAGTCTGTTACTCGATTAGAATGAAAAAATTCTACTCGTATCGAATTTTTTCATTTTAACCTTGTTACAGAATATACTATTCTCAAATTTAATCTATTTATACACCTACTTATGGTTTAGATGTAAAAAAATATGTGGGAGAAAATTTTTATGAGTTATTTATAGGTCAACCCATGACAACACGAACTTCCAAATCGGTTTGGCAGTTTCCGAGATTACCGGGTTTTCCTCCGGATTTTCCGTTGTTTTCGTTCGAGCTTCAGGCGACATAAAATGTATAATTTAAAAGAGACGTGGTCTTTCCTCAACAACGCACTGGACTTAAGTGAACTCATTTTTCCTCATTGTTCATCTCACTTTCGTTTTAGGGCAGTAATAGCCCACATTACCTTGAAAGCACCTATCTGTCACTAGTCAGAAGTTCACGTAGGTAATATATTTATTTATTACTGTACCTCAGTTTAATCAATCAAGATGAAGACAACAGATTCTGTTTTTATAGCAGAATTTATTTATAAATGATCTGTTGTTTATTGGCCCTATTAATTTTTCGTTCACATTTTCTGCTTTGTCTGAGGATAATACAATTATGCAACGCAAATTGTATATTACTGGAGTAATTACTGAACTGACATTATGATTTATGAGGACGGTAAATTTAACGGGCGTTAAAGATACCGGAGTAATATTTCCAGAGTATAATATCAGGGTCAGTTTATTTCTGGATTCTGCGAACCGAGTCTATCAGAAATTGCCCGAGGAGAAAAATTGCTTCCACATCTCCTTATGTACAATCCATTTAACAATATTATTATCCTGGGGCTTTTTTGACGCATCAGGACACTGACTCGACGATTCACCAAAGGAAAATATATAGCGAAGCAAATTAGGCAGAAATAATGGGAAATTAACAAAGGACAGTTATTTAAGACATTTATTAAACTTTAATTTATTACACAGAACATTTCAAAACATGGCTCAATCTGAAATAAAAGATTGGAAACGCGAAGTGAACATGGGTCTGAAAATGTTTTGTACAGAGACTATATAACATCTTTCATTATAAAGTAGTTAAAAACAGAGAAATAGTAGTAATTCGTGACATGAAAATAAAAATTCATGGAGTCTCACTACCGCACTGAATAAGTGATTGTCTAATTTGCAGGTTGAAGCATAATTACTACATATTATTTGTATACAGGGCGTAAGAAGTTTGATTGCCTTAATTTTAATAGACGATAGAATATATTAAAATAAACAAAAAACCTTATATGTCATGGGTTCTAAACTCAACCATTTCCGAGAAAAAAATTATCAAAATCTCTAACTTGATGTACACAAGTTCAATTAATTAAGGAATATACCATAAAATACAATGTTTCTAATTTTTTTGAAGTTCTTTATGCTTAATTCTAAAAAGTGATTAGCGTTGTAATAAATTTAAAATTCGATAAAATTGATATCGAGCAACGTGACAACGGTTCGGTGCTTAACACGAGGTACCAAGGTGTCCAGCAATCACCAATACGTAATTCAGTTGGTATCTGGATTTGACCGTGTCGGAGTGTTTTTGCGTACCACTATTTCATTTTCTCGAGGTGTTTCTCCTCGCTTTTTAAAATGTTTACCATATGTGAGTATCAGCGAGTGAAACAGTCGAAGACTTGCAAGAACGAATTTTTGCCGCTGCCCATCAATTAAGGATAAATCCGGGTATTTTTCAGCGAGTGCGCGAAAATTGGGTTGGAAGGTGTCGTGCGTTCTTTGAAAATGGTGGTGGACAGTTTGAGAACACGTTTAGTTTGCTTTGTACTTGTGCGTTAAAAAATTACTGAATTTTGCTTTTTGGTAAGTACCTAAATTATTTCTACTACGTATGATTATTTGGACGATGTGATTCTTTGGGTATTTTAATTATATCTTTTTCAAATTCATAATTTGATTAAAAGTTCCTGTTTTAAGAGATTCATAATTACTAAAATTCGAGCGAAAACTTAAGCACAACACTATCTTCGTACTACAAAATCGATACATTTTATTTTATTTATTTAAAAACTGGAAAACAATTGTCTTCAAATTTGCTAAATGTTTCACAACAATAGTTGTTTACATTTTTGTTATTCCATAGAATAAGTTCGCCGCGTGCGCGCGTGGTATGCACCAGCTGTGTAGCGTTAGGTTAAGCGCTGTTGTCACGTTGTGATGAAACTCCCCAATATTAATACTCGCTGTATTTTGAAAACTGTTAATCTTACGCCCCTGTAATATACAACTTTTTTGTTCGTTTACGATTACTCTATCTCATGCTGAAATAAAGGTAGTTAAACCTAATTTGTACTTGAAAGGTAAAGAAAGAGGTAAATATATTCTTACAACACACATTTTTTTCCTTAGATCTAAAAGTTGTATGTATTGTACCTATATTTCAATACATACATACAACTGTAATAAAATATTTTTTTTTTAATAAAACAATAGCTTTAGAATCTATTCTAATTTTCGATGGACATTTGGTTAAAGCTTGCCAATACATAAAAAACTACAAATTGTGTAGCACAGCAACACTTACATTATGCAGGTAGTTATAATGTATAACGAGCACTTGCACGCTGTTTTATAACTGAATATTTCATTCTCCATGGCACAGACAGGCAGTTTATGAGCAAAATTATTTTTACGACCGACGCATGTGTCTCGTAATATAACCCGAAAAGTCCAATATTAGTTTTAATACAATGTCGTGAAATTAGATATAAACTACTATAAAGTTTCACGCGGTGGTTTTTGGAAGGTCGCAAAGTTATAGTCATATGTATTCATTTTAAACTATTAAATATACGGGGTGTTTGAAAATTAATTGAAAAATCTTAAAACTTAAATTCGTGTGGTTAAGATAAGAATATGTGTCTTGCTAACATCGATTTGTTTAGATATCTTCCTTAATGACAGTCTCGGGTTTTGTAATGGCGCGTACATACTGATTCTGCTGTGTTCTCAAAATAAATGTTGGATTAATGTTTTTGAAGTTTTTGATCCCCCTGTATAAAAAATAAATTATTAATATGCAAACATATGTATCTGTTTTTCATTAAAGCAATATTTTTTAAATAGAATGGCTTCTCCAAAAGTATTAAAAAATGAGTAGAGTCCTAGAATATCCCAGAATGTCGAGTATTAACTAGAAGGCCATGCTTTCATATTTAAACATAAAATTTAATTCCAAGTAACTTTTCCCCATTACTTTTTCACGTAGCGTTAAGATTTAAGGTACTTTACTCTTCACTGTTTTTGCCTTTCCCAAATTTTTGAACACCCTGTACATTAAATTGAACAAATGACTATCTTGCCAAAGATATCTGAACAAGCAAAAATTTTTATGAAGAATTATTTTTTTTGACATTTGAAATTTTGTGTCCATTTCAAGTATAGGCAACACGAACTGGGGACAGCCTGTATAATAGAAATTTTCTGCACATTATAAATTATTATAATTGTTTACTTTTAGCAGAAATTTTTTTAGGGACGCCTATGAAACTCATTAAATTTTATTATCAGACGTTTTTTGCATGTTCAACTGACTTCGGAAAGACTATACCACTGGTGGAGATACTAGGCCTATTTTGAAAAGTTTAAAAAATAATTGGCGACATTTTTCCACCCCTTTGCAGCCTCTAGCAAAATGCAAAACTGTATTTTCTATTTTTTCATGATATTTAAAATTGTATTTCTAGCGAAAAAGTTGTATAAACTTCTTTTGAGAAACCTGTAATTTTACATTCATTGAAGCCATTGTTAAAATTAATGTTAACTAAAGAAAACTAATACACGAAAGATAGTTCCTCTTTCGAGGATCAAAACAAAATGCATTTTTTTTCAAAGAAACACCATTAGCAGTGGTCGAATTTTCACGTTCAGTACTGTCGAATTTCAGGGTGTTTTAGATTCTCGGTGTCCCTGTCACTGCTACATGTATTTTCATTAAATTGCAATAGTTATTTGCCTTCAATTAGATAAATCATTAATCCAAGTTTCATCAATCCGCATTAAACCAGAGATATTCAATTCAGATGTTCAATTTTCAACGCTCTTTCGAAAGCGAAGCTGTTTTGGAAATATTTTCCCTCGGATTTTATTTCATTCTGATTTAACCCCGTATATGAAAATTTTACCAAATACTTCCAAGGAAAAACTTATTAATGGTGTAAATAATTTACGACTTATAAAACCACATACTAGAATATATTTCTTAATAATTTCGTCTAATAACCATGTTTATTTTGACTAGCAGCGTACCAATTACCCGCCGCGAAACTTTAAAAGCGTTTAATTTATCGCTGAAAGGCGATCCACATTTTTCATTTTTCAGGACACGCACTATTTAACGTTCTCTTTGATTTTACGGTAGCCGTGACAACATGACTTTAGTGAAATAAAACATCAGAAGAATCGCTCCTAAAAATAATTTTAAAAATTCGCTGCGGTTCCCATTTAGCAGGTATTTCAACGTGCGTGGTCGTGAAAGCGATGTGCTTCTGTCAAACGCGTTTGTTTTTATTACCTATAAAAAATAATGCGATGCTGATATTGGTTAAATATATTCGAGAGCCACTTTTGAAAGTGTAACGATGAACTTGCGGGGCAGGTTATGTAGTTTTAAAAATATACGAGATGGATAACGAAAACAAAATAAAAAGTTGCAGATGTCGAGGAAAATAGAACACCTGCTGAGACTTAAATATAATTTTTGTATATACGATGTGGTAATACGCGCAAATTTAATCTATCTTGAAAAAAGGATAGCAGTTATTATACAGGATGTTACTCTAAGTAGGCGTTAGTTTTTTATGGCACGTATTTACTGGAATACTAACCTGAAATTCCCTTTTTTAATAAATAAATAGTCGACATATAATTCTAGTTTTAAACTGCATTTGCATACTTGTGTATGCTGTCACTAATTGCTTTTCCATGACCTAGTGATGTGTTATTTTAAAGTCGCCATATTTGTTTAATGGCAGTGTGGACGAACAGCCAATCATTAAAAAAATCTATTGTATTTAAAATATCTTTGGTGGCCTATAAAAAGGTGCAGAACGACCAAATATATTGTCTCTGCTTCATTTTATTACATTTACTTTAATTTTCAGTTTATTGGTTTACGAGAAGTGTCTCTGGGTAGTATATGTTTTTAACCTTAAACATTTTAGTGTTTAGTGATGGTACAGTGTATTTTTGTGTTTTTTTCTCAAGGTTCTGCGTGGTATTATGAAAAATAATGGTACGAAGAAAGGGTTGATATAGTTACAGCCCACTATTTATCAAGAGACAACGATGCTATTGCAAGAAGACAGATGGATAATCCTGAAAGACAAATACTGAATAAGAACATGCATGCAAAAATGAATCAATATTTAACAGATTGTGGAAGCATTGAATGACACTATACTAATGTTGGACGAGAACAATCTCAGAGAGTGAGGAACCAGAAATTCTAAAGTCGTGGAAAAGGATCCTGCTGCCAAGTAGGTATGTCATATGCTGTAAAAATCAGGTGAGTAAACATATTATTTACTTAGTTTTGAGTATTTCATTTATCATTATTTATTTATTTTTACTGTTTGTTTGTTAATTATGAGATTTAACAATAATGCATACCGCATTTCTCAAATGTGTATGCGCTACGATTAACGCAAATTGTTGTTTAAGGTCACACTATTCCAGCGGCAGTATATGAAAATTACGAAAAAATTCAGTTTTCAGTACAGAATTTGAGGAAACAGACTTATGATAAGTGTTTCTAAAAGTCAAAGGTATCCTCTGTGTAAATATGATCTTGTCCAAAGTTATATCCTGTATTTCCATTGTTAATTAGGTGTCATTGGAAGTGGAATTTTTATTAATTAAGCCTATTGTTTAATTCTTAGCTTATAATCTACTTATAATGTACGGTTTCCATTTAAAAAAATGTTTTAAAATTGAAAGCCATGTGCCTGCACTACTTGTCTTCGTTGTTGAACCGGATTTTCCATTTCCAGCCAAGTGTCATTCAACTGCTGATACTTAGAAAAAGACATTCCTCTGAAAGCTCGCGATAAACCAGGGTAAAAATGCCCTGTCAGACAATTCGGGGAATCGGCAGAAAGAAACCAGTATTAAATATATAGAACACAACGTTGGAAATATCTCAAACATCGCTCAATCAGCGTAATGTGACAGATCGCTATTAATGTTGAGTATTCTTTCCCACACAATTCAATTCCATTAAGCTGCCGAAGCTAAAATACCGGTTGTTTTTTACATAATACGTTACACTATAGGCAAAAAATATATGTTCTACATTTATTTCCAGAGCTATTACAATAACGGGTATATTTTACTTTCTGCAGGAACTTCTTGAGAGTAGAATTGGACACGTATAAGAAAAACTTAAAGTTATGTCAAACACGTAATACTTTTGTTCGTACGTAGAAATTTAATTAACTGGAAATAATGTGATGGTGAGGTTGAAATAGGGTTTACAAATTTTTCATTTATTTTTAACTGAGGAAAAATTGTTTTTATGTATATACTGACTAGAGGAATATTTTCATTTTTTACCGACATTTTCAAATTACCCTTGTATACAAAGCAGTCTTCCCTTAATAATAAAATAGTTCTCGTTAAAGTAATAACACTATGCCGTTACAAGTCTTTGAAGTTTCCAAACGTTTAAGTAAAGCGATATACTACCAACAGTAAATTAACCAGACCCTGAAATATGTTCTAGAATATCAGACATGGCCTTTTAGCCCTCACTCCCAAAAACGCTGTTAACTTAATGAAGCCTATTAGTATACATAAAATATAACTTTCTTCCTCTACCTTTACTTCTGTGACGTCGACGATCTCTCGTAATTTATGCTCTACTTCATCTAGGGAATACATAATATACTCGAGGAAACATTTATACAACTGTAACACTTGCTGAATATTGAAAATTTAATTTGGCACTTGGAAAACATGATGAATAAACTATTCAGTGACGATTTTATAACTACATGTTGATGTTTCAGTACCAAGGAAGTGTCTCGTGTCCCACAGAGTTTCCTATAAAATGCGGGCCCATAAACTAGAAAAATAAATTACAGTAACAGCTAAAGCTAATAATTTACTCCCCAAATATCAAAAATATGATAATAAGATATCATTCGTGATATTTTTAACTATGTGGAATGAAATCTAACGATACAGTGAAACTATGAACGATATTCACTTATGAATTGAGATTCCATGGACGTATCACATTAGAGGTTTCCAAAAGTGCCATGTCGAGTTCGGTGAGAACAAGGTTCTATTTACAGCTTTGCACTTAGCTTGGTGTAACTTACATATAGGTATGTATAGTCTTTCCGATATCATTTGAAGAACCAACAAATTGACAGTATGTACCAGGTTCGGTCGCTGACGCAGCAACTCGGCATTGAAATATTTGAAAAACTTGTTCCTATATTTATTTAGCCATACCCATAAACAGGTCTGGTCGAACTAAACGTGGAGGTGATAGAAATGTATACGTTTAGTTGAAGAATGCGAGCGCGGGCAAAGTAAAACGATCACAGTTGCATGGGGCTACTGGGCAATAAATCACAGCAGATGACAAATGGTTGATAAATTTCCCAGCAGTGCAGTGCAGCAATGCGGAATTTGATGTGATTCAGGTAATTTTTATTTATTATAGGCACCTTCTATCAATCACTCTTATTACAATACCGCTAGTTTTAGCCATTTAATACACTTCATATTTCATGTTTTTATTTGCGTACAATTGGACATAACTTCCATTTTCATCGATTATGGCAAAGCACATTATAAGGTCCACAAAGAAAAATTTTCGTTTTCGATATACCTAGAACCCTCTTCTCCATACTGCAATTTTTTTCTTTAGTATTAGCATACTTTTTCTATTTCATTTTAACTAACGCAAATTCGTCATTGCCAATTTAATTTATTTTTTCTGTTACGTGTTTGATTTTTTTGCATTTTTACGCTTTCTCCATTTTTTTAAGCACTCATTTATTACTGATGACTACGTTTGTTAAAGAACTACACATTTCCACGGCATCACTCACCGATATATCTACGTTTCATGAAGTTCCCTTATACGCGTCGTTCATCATAAAATGTGCTTGATCTGCTAAATTCGATCCTTGGCAAGTACCTCAATTATTTCACTTCCAGCAACATTTATTGGAATAAGTAAAATATAAAACAATAATTAGTTTTTCTTACTTGTACGCCAATGAAATTGAGACGGAGAGGGGTTTCGAGGCGTCAAACCATGTAGTATCAGTCACCCCTCTTTTTGTACACGATAAACAAGGATAGAAATAGGTGCTTGTAACATTAGACCGTTTCAAGTGCGCTTGCGCAAGCTGAAAATATCGGAACATGATGCGACATGAACAGCACATTAAAATGACCATGCAGCGAATAAAAACTATACTACTTTACCAGATTAATAAATAGTAAAAATTGTAGTTTGATTAAAGTTATGACTGTGTTGCCTACTATTTTGTCAAGGACGTATTTCTGTTATTATTATTTCCCAAATCCCGCTCTCTACGCAATTTGTCGAACAATTTTTTTTCGTTATGTTTAAATTCGCTTTAAAATAGCGTAAATAAGAGAACTAACAATAAATAATATGTTTTTAAAAAGGCGTCAAATTTTTGTTATGAATTTTCAGTTTTTGGTTTAATTCTGCGTATTCAATAATAATAATAATAATAAATTTATTTTCCTTTTGACAACATACATTGTATAGGAATAGTCACAATGATATTAAAACTAAGTTAAAAAAAAGAGGAGAATAAAAAACGAAAAATAAACGAATGAATCGGCAGAGATCATACAAATTCGCTCAAGTTATAAAAGCATCTATCCAGAAGATAAAGTTTTAATTGTTTTTTAAACAAGATTAAATTGNAGAATAAAAAACGAAAAATAAACGAATGAATCGGCAGAGATCATACAAATTCGCTCAAGTTATAAAAGCATCTATCCAGAAGATAAAGTTTTAATTGTTTTTTAAACAAGATTAAATTGTTTATATTTTTAATATGTACTGGTAATTTATTAAAAACTTTTTTGCTTAAAAAGTTAGGTGAATTAATTGTTGCATTATATTTATAACTTGGAATAAAGTAATTCTGCTACAATATGAACATACAACACCCCAAATTGACTTAGAAGACTCACCTATACTGGTATCGTACGCGTGTAGATACTCAGAGGTCATAAATTGTGAAACTAACGACGACTTGCCTACAGCTGGACCTCCTAGCATGAGCACCTTGAAGGGTATAGGACCCGGTGCGCTAGTGGACGACTCCCTCGAGGACGCCAGGCTACAAGACGCTGATGTACGGGCGGATCCAGCTCCAGACACCGCTGCTGGCAACTGCTCGGTACTGGAACAAAAAGAAATTGTTAACTTGTATTTATTAGACTTGTTTTTAGTATTCTATGTGTAGAAATTGAAATATTACAGAAAACAATCGTTGTACTTCGGCATTCATCTTAATTTTTTTTGTTCTTTAAAACTCTAGGTAGGTCATTCAATTTGCACAAAATTAGTTGCACAATAGTACTTAAGGTATATTATTATGTATTATTTTATATTTTTCTTGGTTGCTTCATTTGCAAGCAAAATGAAATAGAACTTGTTGATTACCAAAAAATTTAAACATAAATGATAGAGTAGCATCTTTCTTTAAATTATTCAATGTGTTACACTGCATACACTTCAAAATCAGCCAACATGAAGATTTTCTAACTTAAAAACGCTTTCACATATTTTTTAAGGTAATATTTTTCTTATAATTTTCGCTAATGCGATGTAAAGCATTGAAACTATATTATTTTTAAAAACTTTTTAGCACCTTTTCCAAGAACCTTTTGTTTATGATGACGTAGACAAAGGTACCTGAATTAAAAAGGTAATTTTGTGAAAAGAATTTCTAATAATAGGAATTTGCACATCTTTTCTGAAGCTTTTAATAAATCTTATTACCCTACCAGATAACAACTTCATTTGCAGTCAGCTTCTAATCCTTAATATAAAGTATTAGAAAAGAATTGGCCGTACTTCAAAGGATAAAAATTCCTTTGATAAAAATAACCCAGTTTAGTGATTTGATTAAGTTGTCTTATTATAACATTGCTTTCTTCAAAATAATAAATATCATTTAGTTAAAACAGTATAAAAGACGCCGATAACTCCGAAAAAGCAAAATTGCACTTAGGTAACTTGTTCTAATCGTTTTTTTTTTCATCCAAGGAAACTACTTTCGAAGTATGGTACATATGTTTCAGGACAACCAGTGAGTTAAAAAAAAATAGAAGTGGTCGACTTTGGAGCAGTCAATTACGTTTATTTCAAAAGCGTGACCTTTTTCAACAAAAACATCTTTTTTATGTTATAATTTTACAATAAGTACAGGGTTAGAACTATTTAAAGAGAAACTACAGGGATATCGGAAAGCGTTAGTCATACAGGGCGGCTCAAATTACAAAAAAGTTGCACAATTATGGGGCGAGTGTTTTAGTGAAAACAGATCCAAGATATCTTCGATAGTTTCTGAGATATCTCGAAAAAAGTGAAAATATCGATTTTCTATTTTTCATTTTAACTCATTTATTTTTTAGTATAGCGTCACGAAATTTTGTATCCATTCATTATCCAACATGGCGATTTCAATGGTGAGTTCAGATTTTTTCTATCTTCCATTGTTTCAGAGTCGCGACAGTCAACTTTTTTTTTTCTTATGGACGCCATATTGGTTCTTCTCATGGATGGATAAAGAAAAAAAATACGAGTTCAACGATGTATAACACTTTGCAAAAATATCATGTCTGCCTGCAGCAATTTGAATTTATTTTTAATTTTTCTGAAATAGTAGGCTGATGTCCGAATTGTCATTTTCTTTAGTGTAAAACATGAAATGTAAAATATTATTACTGTTACGATGTTGTTTTGTATCAAACAATAAATAAAATATGAAGTAAATAAAACAAACCTTTTATTATACAAAGCAAATTAAACTCAAAACTAAAACAAATTAAAAAAAACTCAGTGTAAAATATGTTCAAAGCGATTTCCGTCATTATTAATAGAAGGCCTCACTCTTTCAGAAATGCACTGGGTAGCCGCTCGAATTTGTTAGGAGTTTTGTCAAGGAGTTATATACTCCTTGAGTAATTCTGTTGCGAAGCTCATCTACAGTGTTTATGGTGGTTCGATAAACATAATCCTTTAGGACACCCCAAAAGAAATAATCCATGGGATTCATGTCGGGAGTTCTGGCCTGCCAATTAATGAGTCCATCTCTCCCAATCCACTGTTCACCAAAACTGTTATTTAAAAATTGTTTCACTTGCAAGGTACTATGTGCTGGAGCACCATCATGCTGATATCAGCATTCCACATAACGCATAACTGGCAATGTTTGGAGAAATTCCTCTACATAATTTTGTAGAAGGTCCAAGTACTTAGGCCCATTTAATGTACAGGGTGGTTCACTATATTTTAACCGCCCCTCGTTAATTTTTAAGATTTGTTTTAAGATTTATAAAAAAATGTGAAATACAAAAGTTGCACTATTTTTTATGAAGTTTTCGAAAATGATGTAGAAAAACAAATGAAGTTCAAAAAAAATGGCCCCGGATGTTAACTTTGTTAATTTAAATGTGTTATGTTATGTTTTACACTAAAGAAAGTGACAATTCGGACATCAGCCTACTATTTCAGAAAAATTAAAAAGAAATTCAAATTGCTGCAGGCAGACAGGATATTTTTGTAAAGTGTGATACATCGTTAAATTCGTATTTTTTTCTTTATCCATCCATGGGGTGAACCAATATGGCGTCCATAAGGAAAAAAAAGTTGACTATCGCGACTCTGAAACAATGGAAGATAGAAAAAATCTGAACTCACCATTGAAATCGCCATGTTGGATAATGCCTGGATACAAAATTTCGTGACGCTATCTTAAAAAACAAATAAGTTATAATGAAAAATAGAAAATCGATATTTTCACTTTTTTCGAGATAATTCAGAAACTATCGAAGATATCTTGGATCTGTTTTCACCAAAACACTCGCCCCATAATTGTGCAACTTTTTTGTAAATTGAGCCACCCTGTACGACTAACGGTTTCCGATATCCCTGTAGTCTCCCTTTAAATAGTTCTAACCCTGTATAATACATATCTAACCTTAAAAAGTATGTCATAAAATGTCACAGATAAATGCTGTAGGTAGCGACATCTAGCAAATGGTAAAAAAACTGATATATTTAGCATCTTCAAACACTTGTCTATGCCAAATTAAAAAAAAACGTTTTTGGCGCCCATAGCAATAGCAGAATAAAAGTAAGACCGTGATCCATTGGATACATAGAATATTTTTTTATGTTCTGTTACGGCATCTTTTTCCGTAACACTTACATATTTACATTATGTTCACCCACGCGTTGGACTGTTTGAAAAAGATGTGTATTATCCGTTGAAAAGATGTGTGAAAATTAAATGTGCTCTTGTTTATTTACATCTTTTTGTAACATGTTTGCATTTGCGTTAAATTTAAAACAATGACATTTCCAGTAACGTATTTGCGTAAGAGGCTGGTAATAAATCCAATTTTATAATTTTTTTTAATTTTTCTATCCGAAAACTTATCGTCGAAAGTAAATTTCAATCCCCAATTATCATTAACAAAGGGCTAAAGATTGCTCATTCCGTAAATGAGCCAGTTTTGTTGAGTATACCAGTATCACTATAAAGATTCAAAGCTAAAAATAACGTTAACCGATATATTAACCACCTCGGCAACAAACTAGAGTATCTACTAACTTGCAACTAAATTTAAAACTAACAATATTTGCGACCTACCTTAACAAGTGACTCTGAATACATGCAAGCGGTACGCTACCTTCACACAACTGAGCGACGTTGTCACCTTTCTGGCAAAGATTTCTATGTAGGACGTAATTTAACATAATTGAACCACTACTTATTTTATTTAAAAAAATGTTATTTTAAAATTATTTTTCAGAGCACATTTATTGTTTCCAACGTTTGTTGAGGTTGGACCAGGCATACTGGCGCTGCAATCGATACGTGGGGTAGTTCCAACATCTGACCACATAACCGTTAATAATGAGACATATAAAACTTGGTGTATATAAATAGGTTTGCTGGCACAAACGCGGAAGCCCATATAGAGGATTTGTGACACAAAGAGACGGTATTTTATATAGATCTAACCCTCTCACCAATAGGTGCTCCGCTTGGGTGGTCAAACCACTTTTTGCACGTCAAACGAGATTATAGTTTGAAAAGTATGGGCCTGAATATAGTTTCGCGTGCTCTTTTTGTGTCTCTGCCTCTAATTTCGACCTAGTTTGCTTTGGATCGGTGTTTGTTATTGGTCTGCACCAAATTAAATATGATGACGTCCTAGACACGGATAAGATAATTAAAGTTTGTCGATTATTGTGTCAACAAATTACGAAGCAGCGTTGCACTATCCGTCAAACTTTGTAGTTGTTTGCTTTTGTTGGATTAGTTTCATCCTAATCGGATATTCCGGAGGCAGATCATTTCTTTAGATTAGATGAAACGGAATGCCAGATTTTATTCGAAACCGGCGACTGCTGCATATTGAAATCCGCTTCACTATTGATTTCAGTGAGAGTTCTAGAGAGTGGTATTTATTTAACATAATTTGCTTATAAGGAAATTAAATGAACGTCTGGTTCGATCGGACGACCGTCTAAAAGTGGTTAATAAAATTTTGGAGAAATGAAAACTGAGTTTTTACGTCTTGTATGCCATTTTTGGTATCGAAGAACATTGACTTCATTTGATAAGATTTTTTGGAAGGAAAGTTTAGAATTTGTTTGAATTAGCTATATAAAAAAAATACATTAAAACACATTCAATTTATCTGAAAACTCTTTTTAATATTTACTAATTAACTAATATAACGTTATAATTACTAAAATCTGTATATTATCCTGTTATATTTAACCATATGAAATTAAACACTGACCTTAACACAAAAGTGCGGATATATTAGGAACTGCTGATGTTGAGAGAGGCTGACAAGCCATATTTTCACTTGTCACATCATAGTAAGTGTTTGATGTTGCCTGGGGTTGCAACTAGTATAATCGCTTTTTCGGCAAGGATTATAAATATTACAGCACTTGGTACGAAATGAAGGATCGTTCGCTTCGTTATTTGGCGTAACATTTGGTATACATTCCCCGCATATTAATAGTTTAGCCACCAATTCATGATTACTGTAATTATATGTCATTATAATAAAATATTAACCGTTAATAAAAACAACACTAGATTCCTAATTCTTTTTGTATCTCATAGAGTATACATAGAATCTAGAGCTT